CACACCACAGCAGTTAAGGAATCAATGCTGCTTTAAAAACAACGTTCTATGCTACACATGCCTCTGTTTCTCCATGGAGTGCAAATTTCTTGGGATCTTTAACAAAAAAACCATTCAAGCTGTTCTGTCACTGCCTCCTTTGTAAGGCATTAGATCAAGACTCAGAAAACTCAAGTTCAATTCATAGTGTCCCAACATTTCTTTCAAGACCTCAAGTACGGTCACTTAGGTGATGGATCTCCTGCTCCCCAATGTATAAAACAGAGCTGATGCTATTTCTGTCCCTCAAAAGGCTTCTGTGAACAAACATTTAAAGTTGTCAAGTGTGCCTGTAAGAAGCTAATGGGTCCTGCATATATGCCATGTAAAAAATTTCCCAGTTAACACATTGCATCATTTTTTTCCACCACCACAAGTGCCAAACAAGCTACCACAGACTAATTATATACCCCAGGATATACTTCCACAGCTGCTGAAACGAGTTTCAGGTTAGGGCTGTAGGCAGGTCCCAGCCTTTCCCTATGCTCTGTGCTCTCTTAAGCCTGATCCCTAAGGGAGCTGGTTCATGGAGCTAAACTAGAATTCTGTTGACAGACAGTCAATACCAGTTCAGTGTGCAAACCAGCCCATGGAGGCTCAGATGAGCTTCAGCAGCAGGGCACAGGACATGACTACCCCACACAGCAGGGGATACAGAGCTGTTGTTGTTGGCAAGAACAGAGCTGTTGAGCTGGCTTTACCACAACCACCCCCTCACTAGTGTTTAGCACTGTAAACAGAGCTTCCAACACGCTGTGGCTCAAGCAATCAGTTAAAAACAACTCAGCTTTTTAATACTTACCATTACATCCCAATCAACTATATTTAAAATCACCATAGATTCTTAAAACTACCAACACCAATCAAGATGGACTTTTCTTAAAACATTACAGCTGCTTCCCTTAAAATGTAACTATACTAACATGAAGAGGACTGAGCCTACAACAGACTTTGTGCTTTACCACAATCGCTCCAGATGCTCACTGCCACCTCAAAGGTTCTGCATTCAGTCTTGACCAACACCAACAGGAATACAAGCTACTACTGTGTAGTAACTTGAGTGCCTTCACAGATCAATGATAGTCACATAACAGCAAAACTACTTTTGGGAAGTAACTGCAAAGTGTTATATATGCAGTCTATAACTCCCTTAATATGGGTTAACTCAGCTTCAGCAGCCCGTATCAGCATGAGATGTGGTGGCAGAGCTGGGGTAAGTCTTACCTGGATACTATGCTGGAGCCATTGTAGAGGTCACTGGCATATGACAGCGTTGCCAGGGGTCGGACAGAGTTGTAGCGTGTGAATTTGGATAGACACTCCTGAAACTCATCCAGCTGGCTTGTGGTTCTGCTGTCATCTAAGGTGAGGCAGGAGCATTGAGGACGACAGAAACAGAGTAAGAAGATAAACTCAACAGCAAACAAACAAATAAAATCAAGATCTCTTAATGTGACACTACATCTGTTTGTTATTGGGGAAGGATTCTTGGTCAAAACCAGATTCTCTCACCTCTGGCATTCCCTGAAGGCAGCATGATTTTTTTTTTTTTTTTTTTTTGTCCTTCCACTGCAATGCTGGGTGAGCCTAATGTGCTGAGAATCTGCCTAGAGATCACAAATACAGCTTTCCTGGTAAGCTCATTTATTTTATGTAAATTCAGAGCCCATGGGCCATGTAGACTATTAACAAAAAACCTTTAAGCATACCAAAACACACTGTGAAGAACAAATCTAGTTTTCTATGGAGGCAGAAGTATATTCTTTACCCTGTACTTCTGTTACAATATGCCTACATTTGGTGTCAATTACATTCAAAACACTTTCAGTATAAAAAAAAGTTGTATTTTTACCCCAAATCCAACAAAGCTAAAGGAGAGTTGTTTCAGGGCTGGAAAAGGAAGACAAGCATGAAACCAGAAGACTGTACAGTAAGTTTTGTGTAAGTTTTATGACCTTCAGCAGACAAGGTGAAATTGAGCCACATTGAATAATGATAATAAATATTCTGTGGGAATGGAACAGGTTCCTACTGAAGTTAAAACTAAATTGCAGTGTAGACAGTTGAAAGTTATTCTCCAATTCCTCTTATGTCCCAGCTTTTCTTGGCATGAACAGAATTTTACTGAAACCATTTTAGAATGTAGTATTTCCTAAATAAGGAAAAATTCCTTACTTACAGTGATGCTACATGGGCAAGCCAGGATTCTTAACACCATCGTCCATCTGCAGCTAAACATTACACAGAGCCTTCAGGCTTTGGTAATAACCCCCAGAACCTGCAGCAATTCTTCCTTTCCTCCTCTAATGCTCCCACCTTTGCTTTGTCTTTTTGTACCTGTGCACTGTGAGGGAACAGTGGCTCTTGCAGCTCTAATACACAGCACCTCAGTTTACAGGTACTGCACACCTTGTCCCTTGTCAAACCATGGCATCCTCTGCAGCAGCAGAGAAGCCACAAGCATGATTTGCTCACACAGCCAGGATCAAATTCCACCAGCAGGTTAAGCAGTTATCTTTACCCCTTTCCTTATCAGTAGCATAAGGAAACTACAAACTCCACATATTAGTCCACTTATCAGAAAGTTCTGGAAATACTGAGGTGAAAAAGGAAGAGGTTGATCTATAGAAGCAAAATACAGCTGTGATTTCTTGTGGGTAAACAGGAGAGTCAGCTTTCTGCATCCTGATAATTCTTTCTCATCAGAAATCATCATCTTGGTCTACACTTTTAAGGCATTTTCAAGTGCCCCTTCTATGCTATATCACATTTGATTGTATAAAGGAACAAAGAAGGCTAGTAATTAGCATGTTTAAGGGTACTAGATTATACATTACTCACATCAGATGGATCAAAAGGGGCAAAATGAACAAAGTGCTGCTCCAAATTAAAATCATCAGCACCTGACCACTACAGGAAATAGCTTGAAAAGAAGCACATCTACATCAGTCAGTGTTTTTCAAAGAGTGGTCCTTTCATAGATGCTATGACAGGAACAAATAGCCACTGCTCTTCCATTTCCCTCATTTTGAGATCAAGCACAGTCGTCCTATGATTTATTCTGTATCTGTGCCTGGAAAACCGTATGTTATTTCTCAAGACATTTTCCCTGTCAAAGTGCAAGGCCATTTCATAATTAGAGTTATAATATATCTAGAACAGTCATAGGAACTTCTTGCAAAAAGCTCTAAATCCACATTAAAACCCATTTAAAATGTGTCAAAAAAAAGAAAACTTAATCAAGTGTCACAGGTTATTCTTTATTTAGGAAAAACCTGCACTTGCAAATCCTCCGCTCTTGGTGCACCTGACACATGAATACAAAAACCCAGTTCCACTGCATTCATATTTATAGTTCCAATTATGAAGAAAGATGCCTTCTACAAGGGAATGCTGGGAAGAGCTCCATTTGTTATTCTTGGTTAATAAGGATTGTTTTAACATAAACACAAGTTATGCATCACTGAGAAAGCACTGCATGAAAGCACCTCGGTGTGATCTGGGGAGTACTGTGTCCTGCCTGCTCACACCCCCCCAGCTTCTCCCACCTTCCAGCTACTGAAACACCCTCTCGACCTGCTGCTTCTCTTGTTAAAAATGTTTTGCTGTGCGTGACGAGAACTGAGTCAGTCACTGCTCTGAAGTAGGTGGAAGATGTAGACATACCTAAGAGTGTCCCCAAAATACATTGCAGCCTTAAATATTAAAGCTTTTTTTTAAAATAAAAGTTAAGCTTGGGGGTTTAACTTATTTTCAAGTGGATACAACTTAAAAGCTAAATTCAGGGAGAACAAGCAGGGGTTTCTACTCCAGTTCTCTTGCTGTTCTGTGTCCTGGGAAGTCAGTGCTTGCCTTCCATGGTTACAAACACTGTGTCTGGCTCTGTAGCCATCAGTGTAAGAAAAATATGGACCTGCTTGAACAGGTCCAGAAGAGGCCATGAAGATGCAGAGGTATCTGAGCTCCCTGATCTATGAGTACAGGCAGAGAGAGTTGAGGTTGTTCAGCCTGGAGAAGATAAGGCTCCCACAAGACCTTATTGTGGCCCTTTAGTACTTAAAGTTGGCCTATAGGAAAGCTGAGGAGGAACTTTTTATTAGGGACTGTAGGGATGAGGGGTAACAGTTTTAAACTGAAAGGAAGTAGGTTTAAAGATCTTTTTCCTCATATCTAATGTGAGGGTGGTGAGACACTGGCACACGCTGCCCAGGGAAGTTGTGGATGCCCCATCCCTAGAAGTGTTCAATGCCAAGTTGGATGGGGCTTTGAGCAACCTGCTCTAGTGGGAGGTGTCCCTGCCCCTGGCCAACAGGGTTGAAACTAGATGATCTTTAAGGTGCTTTCCAACCCAAACCTTTTGATTTTAACAAACAAGAGATGCTCTGCCACAGCAACCTCTGCCTGGTTCCCTCTTGTCTCTAGGAGGTTTCTCCCATCTCCTGAGGGCTAGATGCTCCCTATTCCTTGCTGCAGTGTGTCACTCTTCACATGAGCTGTGGCTCACAGCTTGGTGCTGCAAATCTATTGCCTGCCACAGCCCACTGCCTGAAACTGCTCCCAAAGCTGGTTTCTTCTCCAGAGGGTCTGCAGAACAACCCTCCTCACCCACAAGACATAGTCACGTGACCCCTTCATTTCTTAAGAGAATCTTGTCACATAATTAAGAACCATCCATCCACTAGGTAACAATTACTCTAGCTGCTGTCATGCTGTTACTCAATTACAAATGAGGCAACTTAGGCAATTGTGAAAACAGCTTCTAATGCTACAAAACAAGCCTTAAACCTAAGGGGTGCCCCATGGGACAACAGCGCTGCTGCACACTCAGCTTTTATACTCCAACTCATTTGTTAACCATGACTCAGTCCAGAAACATAAAGCATAACCTCCAAGTGTCCTATGCACACTAAATGCAGGGGAATTTATCAATTTATGTTTATACCTCTGTAATATTTCAATAGCAATGTTTTTTACTACTGTGTTTATAGCACACCTGGTAGAAAGACAACACAACCATTGCTTTCATACATTTGCATCTTCAGAGCCAGCATCACTGAAGTTGTTTGTGGGTTACGCCCTTCACAGTACAGGATTATAAAGTAATACATGTGCCTCTCCAAAGGATTATATTTTCTAAACTTAGCAGTTTCAAAGACTGGTCAAGGGAAGAAAAATGGGATGATCTGAACAACACAAATACGTACAGCGACTTTCCCACACAAGGAAGAAGTGAAAGCTGCTCTCTCCAAAGCAAGTCTTTCCTGAGGACTTTAGAGGCAACTGATGTCAGAAGTTGAAACACCATGCCAGAGGTACTCACCCGAGACACGTGTCATCCTGGTGGAAAAATAGCACTGCTCTAGGTCCTCAAAATGGGCTGTGAGCCGCTTGCGTCGGGAGGCTAGCGTGCTGTTATACCACGGCTGCTTTTTGGTCTGAGTGGAAGAGAGAACATGGCAGAAAGGTAAAGCCAGGCCTAGGTTTCATTTCAGCAAATTTCACCCAATTATAAACAATTTATACATCATATGTGAAGTGTTAGAAGTGCAAAATGACAATAAGTGATGAACTTGCTACTGTCAATTACTCTTAGGGTCTTGTGTTGCACCCTGTAACTTGATCAACATGAAAAGTTGTTTTTGGGCAGCTCATGTTTCCTAAACCTTTGCAAAATGTATTGATCCCAGCCTCACACCTAGGACAGACAGCAGCAATCCTTGGGCAATCATGTTGCCTTTATACAGATGGACAGCAGAAGCCAAAGACACCAGGCTTCCAGCCTCACAAACCAAACAGACTGTACAACAAATACTTCCTAGATCCCTGGCAGACAGCTCGTTTAAAAAGCGTTTAAAGAGTTAGTTACTGAATTATTTCTTTTGAAACAACTCAGTAACTCTGTAAAGCTAAGCAAATAAGGATAGAAGCCAAACACACCATAAAGTTTAAAGGTTAATTGAAAAGGAATCCATGAAACTCATGATTAAAGCCACTTCCCTACCTACCTGAGCAGCAAGAACTAGAAGCAAAGGATTGAGACCATGTAAATAAGCTCTCCTCCTGAAGAAAACCAGAAAATGGAGTACCTTGTATTCTACTTACTAGTAAAGAGAGGGAACAAAATTCTTCTACTACAACAGAAGCATGAAGAACATCTTGCTTTAGTTTGTATTTAAGAAGTCTCACATCACATACTCAAAGTCCACAGGGAAATTTTAGAAGATTTGAGAAGCAGCAAGCTCCCTAAGACAACATCCCTAACCACCTACAATGCCCGTAATGCCACTCAGTGACACTGACAAAACCCACTCCCCCTCAATCCACACAGGGGAATAGGCTGCCCTCACTACAACCATCAAGCAAACCAACGAGAACAAACAAACTTTACACCCCACTTGGATTTGGCTTATACCTGTATGATCCAACATTTAAGGGAAAAAGCAAACCCCAAGCAACAGAACCTCCAGATGCCACTTCCCTGGTTATACCCAGACATCGTGACTCACACTTGCACATTGACAGCACCTATGGCCTACACAGCTTGTTTCATCTCAAAAGCAACTCCAACCTCAACAAACAACTAGAATTCTGTGAAACACTTATACACCAACACCTTTTAACTACAATTTTCTAAAATTTCACCCGCTTTAGGAAATGTTGAAGAGAACACTTCCAAAGCATTTTTCTGTTAATTCTGTGCATCAGCCTACAAGGCCTACAGCTTCTCTCAGCACATCTGGAGTGATTTGGGCTCAAGACAACTTCAAGTGTTGAAGAGCAATCACTTCAGCCTCCAATTAAGATGAGCTGCCTGCAACATGAAGAGCAATATAACCCAAGTCCAAGTCTGATCTTCCAGATGAGCCCAGCCCACATCGAGATGGAATCAATCATGAGAAGCATTTGCCTGCTGTGTAGTGACCTTCTAGGTCTCCAGAGAAAGATGCCCCCCTAGCAGGTTTCAGGCTGGCACATGGTGACCCAGCTCTGCTTGGGATCAATCTGCATTAATTCATCTTCATCAAATCCTCCCCAGCTAAGCATTTTAAACTGCTCATGTTTTACCAAAACATTTATTCACTTTCCATGAATTCAGCTCCTTGGCTACTTGTTAAGCAGTACTGGGAACCAGGAGGAAGAAAATTTAAGTGAAAAGAAAACATACCCAAGCAATTTTTATTCAGCTACTATGGTTGTTCTGGTCAAGAACATTAGGTTCAGACTGCTCTGTTATCAAGTGATTTTACTGTCTGAACTTCATCAAGTGCTCTAAAGAGTCCTCTAACAATGGTGGAAAAGCTTCAGAGCTACACACAAGCTCCTTATTTCTAGCTGAAAAGAAAGGTACTGCCACTAAATACTACCTGTAGAATTCCCCAGGGCCTACATGACTTGCCCACTATCTACTTCTGAAGCTCAGCTTATGAGAGAGAACCATCCTGTGCCTCTGTGGTGTATAAACTCTTCCCGAAGAACACGTTCATGAGCCACGCACAAAGTGATTACAGAGAGAGCTCTGTGGGCCATCCTAGCACAGCTTCTTACTGCCAGCAGTGCCCAGTCTATGACTTTTGCAATGACTAACAATTAGGAAAAAAGCACAGCTGAATTTTTCTTCTTAAAACTATTTTTATGGTAAAGTCTTACTGAAATTAAGACTACCTTTGAATGAAGTGTTTCATTTCAAGACCTTTCAACTCCTCATCCAAACACAGTTTAATCTGAAAATTTGTATTAGACAGTACAGATCTTGCACTCTTGTCGACAAAAAAAAGATTATTCTCACACAAATGAGGCTGTCATACGGAACGAACAGGAAGTCTAGGTTGTTTTGTGCACTTACCAGCAACAGAGCTATATGCTTTTTGTCTTTGACACAGAAATAAAAGGACTACAAATTGTGCCAGTGGAGAACAAACACACTGTACCAGATCAGAGTCCTGAACATAAAATCTCCACCCACATTTCACTTGCCCTCTGGAAGTGAGGGAGAGTTCTTTGTTCAAGCAAAAAACCTCCCAAGACCACAGTAGCAGGAACAAGCATTTTCCCCACAGACAAATAAATGGAATTTTCTAATCACCAATTAGCTATAGAGCTGCAAACCCCCCAACCTGCATGCACACATACATCAGCCCAAGATTCAGATGTTTTTCTTTACATAAGCTACTCCATCAAATACGATCCAAGAGCACTTCAACCTGCTAATTTACCAGTTTGATATTGCTGTGTGCCAGATGGTCCACCACAAGAGAGCACCAAAGGCATGAGCTAGCACGTAACAAACAGTCTGTCCATCCAAATCAGAACTTTAACCTTTTTGAAACTGAGAGGTGGGTATTGGTGTCATCCTCCCAGCCCAGCTGACCCGCTCTGAGCTGTGGGACAATGGCAGTGCTGTTTGGGACTTGGGAGGCCCTGCAGATCACCCAGTCTGGAGGCTGCCTGCCAAATGGCTTCACCATATATGCAACCTGTTACCCTCTATGGCAATTTATAATATAGTTTACAAGGCCCTAAACAAGGACAGCTACAAACCAGTTCTGTGTTTGGAGAATGAATGTTTCTTCAACACTCAAGCTTAATCCAAAGCTATTTAAATCAATGCAAAGGGTCAGGATTTACCTCCCTTCCAAAATGCTGATCACTTGGAAGAAGAGGTGACTGACAAAAAATATGCCCTCTTCCCTAGAAGTCAGCTTTGGGAATAAGTCAGGTGTCTAAATATATTACACCAGATTTCTTTGATGGCATCAGCACGGACACTCACAATCACGCACAGTCATTCCTGCAGTTATAGTCTTGGTTCCAGTTTGCCCAGATAACCAGGTAAATGCAATTGCAAGACTCAAGTTGGCCAGTCCCCTGGAGGTGGATGGAGCTGTGCTTAATCTCTGCCCAGCCTCCACACGGACTCTCCCACCCCTGCTGTGCACAGCCAGACGTATTGCCTTACCTGAGAACTGCCGCTGAAGCCTGGAGGCTGGCTATACTCCGTGGAGTCAATAATACTACTGCAAAACCAAAAGAAATAGTCTGCTTAAATCACTGTACAACCATCCTTTGTCATTTTTAACTTGTGCTACTCCCCCTTTTACATCCTGCAGCATATTTGCCTTTGAAATTCGTTTTACAGACAGGGAACACAAGGTTATTTTTTTGTCTGAGGGTTTGGGAAGGATCTTTTTCTCCTCAATACAGGGATCTCCTAGAGCAGTATGCTGTCACACACAATTATGTGTAGTGTAATCTAATAATTTCTAATTAGAATGCTGAAGCATATCTTTTGTATGAAATACGCAGGATAAGACATTCTGAAAATAACTGTTACCATAGGGTTTCAGTTCCTTTCATAAAGAAAGGTAGATGTTTAAATGCTGTGGCATTTGAAATAACACTGTGAAGAGAAAAGCTACAGAAACCAGCTTAAGACAGACACTAATATTGCAGACATCTCTGAAGACACAAAACAGACAGAAGTAGTGAAGTACAGAAAAACTAATTTTTTTTATAGCCAGGATTACTATTATTCAAAAATATAATACCATATATAGCTCCATAGTATCTACAATGACACAACAGACCTCAAATCACTGTTTTTAAAACATACCACACATATACAAGCAAGATATAACTTTCAAAACTGCAAAAGGATCTACTGATATAAGCAGAAAACAGGTGGTTCACTGTTCTTGCATATATGGGCAAAATATTTAACCATGACAATAAGACAGAGCCAGATAACACACATTTATTACTCAATTTTAAAATACTTTTAGGACAAGTAAAGCTTAGCACACAAGAACACCTGTTTATTAATTATGGAGTAGACATTTACAAGCATCAGCAGGATTTGTTTCTAAAAAAAATCTGTATAATTCACCTGCTTCTGCTGTGTCACTTGGCTTGGACAGAAACTGTCTGGGTTTGTCATTCTCAGCCTTACTTACAAGGTAACCTTAGATTCAAGCATTGCTTGGGGAAGCTGAAGATTTCACTAAAAAGCTACTACAACACTACTCTAGGTCCTGGTTTTGTAAAATACAATTGTACCTATTGATGTTTATGTAACAGCTTCCAGGACTGACACACAGGTTTTACATTCTTGGTCATAAAACAAGTGCTTTAGCTGAAAAGTCAGTCAGGGTGCCTGTAAGTCTAGAAGGATGAAAGAGTGGTACTAGTGCAAAAATATTTCTCGGAATGTTTTAAAGCTCCCCTGGAGGTGGAAAGAAGTAGAAACAGAAGATGAGAGATGATTTCAGCGTCTTATTAGTGGTTAACTCATAAGATGAGATTGATTTGGCTTCTGTTACAGCCATGAGAAAAGCTGCAAACCAAGAAAATCTAAGGGATAAAAATCATTATTTGCTGTGAGCTATTGCAAGGGAGAAAACAGAACTGTTTCAGGCATGGTTGGGGACAACGAACTTTAAATTAGAACGTGGCCACATGAAATAATGAAACACGTACAGCAGATCCTGCCAGGAACAGCACGAGCAAGACGCTCGGCTGGAAAGTGATGAAAAGTCCTCTGCTCTGAGACAGGTACAGTGGCAATTAACAGCAAAACACACAGACTTAGAGCGTCTGGTCTCGTTTTGCTGCAGGTTGTCTGGTGATGTAAAGCCTTCAAGAGTGCAGACATCTCCCTAACCAGAATACAAATTCAAAGTCATTTCTGTACACTGCCTGTAGCTGAGTTCACTAGCATATGCTTGAAAAATAGGACATAAATTAGAAAATTACCAAAGTTACTCTGAATTCTTTTTAGAAAGCCATAACATCAGGTTCAATTAGGAACTTCAGCTATGCTAACACAACACATTTAAAAACAACAACAAAAAGGCAGCAAGCTGCAGACTATGAATCCCATTTGTTATACCCTTAGGGGGGTGGGAGGGGGCAATTAGAACAAATGGAGGAGAGGGGGATCAGGATTTCAATAACTGAACCAGAGTTACCAGGCAACTCATTTTTAGATCAGAACCTTCCCCCAGAAACTCCTGTTACAGTGATGGTTTGTTATTGCTGTTGCTGCCTGAATATGCAGTCACGGAGAAGTTGCTTATTTGTATCTCCCGTTTACTCCATTTACTGGTAGCAAAAATAGCATGTGTGCCTGTAGAGAAAAACCCTACACAGAACTATTTGTTCCGTCCCCTTATTCTTCCCCTCTTGTTCTCTATTAGTTTACAAGCCCAGCAATCTGCAACACTGGAAAAAAGAGCTGTGCTATTACCCAATTTAATATTTCATCAGACCCAGTACAGGCACAAGAAAACACATCTTTCTTGAGGCCAAGAATGTATGGAACATGATAAACATACTTCGTTTTAACTAACGAATTTATAAAGGCAGATGGGGTGGAGGCATAGTAATTTCACATTTTGAAGATGTTAAGAGTGTGGAGTGAAAAAAGCTACCAACAATGAAAAGAAACAGAATTAATGAAGCAAGCTTGTGATTTAGAGGAAGTAGATGAATAAGGGCAAGTCACTAGAGACCAGATAAAACCAAATTCCAAAGAACTCTATTTTCTTCAACTTAAAATTCAAAGGCTAAAGAGATTTTCTTCACCTCAGCACAGATCTATGATAACCTTGTACTATTTATAAGACACATTAGCAAAATTTTATACAATTATATTTCATTAGCAGGGTGTTAAGCATGTTAACAAGTCATTCCAATTTAAATATACCATTTTAATTCACTGGTAAGTTCAAAAGCCTCTGCAAGTTTAATAACATTTTTAACATGGAAGTGAAACCACCTCAAACTATATTTGTATTGCATTCTTAGTGGTTCACAGCATCTCTGAAATGCACTGTGGAGATTAAGCATTTCAGTTAGATATGAAAAAAAATCAGTATATTTTAAAGCTCCTACTAGTTGTTCTGTAGCATTCTTTCCAAGGAGGAATCAAACTTACAGTTTGAGATACTCTCCAAAACCTACATCTAACATTAAGAAAATTAATTTCATGTGGCAGACCATTTTTGGTGATTCAAACCAATTCAATTACTTAAATTACACAAAACAGGGTGAGGACAGAAGTTCCAAGAGTCTGGCAGCAGACGCCTGTTCAGACACTTCCTTCATGTACTAATTCTCTTTGACAGCTCAAGACAACTTCTTCACACAGGAATGTCATTGAGAAAAGGGGTCTTCTCAAGCCAAGGGAAAAACACAATCCCACATACCCTACAAAACCCCTAAATATCCTATTATATCACACTCCTGGCATGTTGTGCCAGAGGAAAATTACAGAAGCTAAAGGCACATCCAAGATAGAACCAGATAAGTGTGAGAAGATGGGCAAGAAAGAGCCCACAGTCTATGCATCTGCCAGGGTCTAACCCACTGTCATCTCCCAGAAGATCTCGCATGAAACACGTCAGTCCAAAGTCACTAAAAGGCTACTTGTGGTAGGAAGACTCTCTGGCTTAGTTATTCCAGCTTTCAACAGATAAAAAATTCTTTGAGCTTTTTTAGGAGTTTGGCTTCAGTAATAGAGATACATTTCTACTCCTAAGTACAGTCTTCTGTTAAAAAAATGAAGGGTTTCTTAGCCTGAAGGCATTCACCATGTAACAAATTCAGGCCACTGAGTGCTCAAGTTCTCCCCAAGCAGCAGTACCATGAAGCAAACAGCAAGCAATCCAATAGCTGATAACCAGAAAATTAGCAGAACCTGACAGGAATCTCATCAGCTTCACAACACTGCTTCTTGGCAAAACAGCAATAACCCATGTTAAAAAATGCACTTGCACCCAAAAAAAAAAAATCAAACAAGCAGTGAAGAATGGAATTTGTTTCCATCCATCTTGGCGATATTCCTGTGTTTTCCTTCATGGCGAACCAGAGCTTCCTAAAAATGAGAAATTCTAGTCTTGGCACCCAGAAAAAGGATCTTGGTAAGAAATCCCAGCCAGTATTGCTAGTCTTCTTACCAGAGCACTATCTAAATCTCTGTAGGGAACAAAATACCATCATTTTTTCTTTCTTATTTTTGGGCTAGTAGGTTTAGAGCTGCTCCTTGCAGGAAAAAGTACCAGTCCAACTTTAAAACAGTTTAGGGACCTCTACTATTAAGATGCAGGAGAGATGATTTTTTAACAACAAAACTTGGCCCTGTGAAATCAGAACTTTCTTACAACCAAAAATCATGGCTATAGAGAAGTAGAGCACTTCAGACCCTGGCACATGCGACTTGGACACAAGAACATCTGCAATTTTATCATCAAGAAACCAGACTACACAGTATTCCAGACTAATCTACACTAAAGTTTTGTTATTAGAAAGGCGTTTCTTTAAATCAAAACAGACATCTGATAAGCACTATCAATGGGCTGTATATTTTAAATTTTCAGCCCATGAGTCCACACCTCTAGCTATTCACATGGAGCAGGGAAGCCAGAGGACACCAGTATTGTACACAACTAAGACCTTTCAATGCCAGGCAAAACTGTATACCATTCAGAAAAGGTAGAATTTAACAGTAATGTTTCATACCATAGCAAAGACTTATGACTCAAGTTCACTAATCCATCCACGTTGAAAACTAGCAGCTTTCCACACCATCTGGCCTAGGGCAGACTTTTCATTCAAGCAGACTCAGATGGCCTCTTCTTCACTGCTTTGCTCACAAAGTTTACACCAATCAAAAACAGAGAATATCGTACAGCACCCAAAACTAATTCTGCCTGTGTTTTGGGCATGGCAAGGAGAGGACTAGCAAGTACAGCACAAAATGTACAAATCCAAATTGAGCTGTGAGCTCCATACCTGTGTGAAGGCGAGGGAGCCTCAAACTGGGGCACAGTGCTGTCCTCGCTGACTGGGGAGTACAAGCCACTCATCTCCTGGAACACAAAGTCACATTACAGCAAAACTGACAAAGCATGAAGAGTAGGCACCATCTAATATATGATGCTCACAAAGTAATTTTTTTCTATTTCCAAGCAGTTAATGAACTGTATTGACACATTTATTTGATTGCCACCTAGAAATCTTTACTATACTGGAAGAAACACTGATTCTTTGGGTTCTTTTTCAGTTATCCCAACTGCATTTCAGAAATCCTACAAGTGTAGTACTTTTTGCCCAAAGAGGCAGTTCTGCAGTTTATACTCCAAAAATCAATACATTTTGCTACCATCCAATTCTCTCTAACCCAGCACCTCCCTTAAACATGGCAAAACAAGCTGTAACTGCATTTTTGAAATCTGTGAAAGCTTAACTAATAACCTTTGCAGACAGATAGTAATGCTGGAGATGGGTCATGGCAAGAACAGCCATGAAATAGAACAAAGGTGGTGTTGTGCTCCAGACTTAAAAAGAGGATCTATCAGTCTTCTGTGGGGCAAGTGCACAAGAGAAAAACTTTGTCCATAAACTTGGCTTTGTCATAGCCAGACTAAACCACTGCTGTGTACCCAGCATGAGACTGTACCTTTCATCTGTTTGAGAAATGGAAGCTATGCAGGATGCTGCTGCTCATTAGTTAGGGGGGGCAAAGTGTTCTAGGGCAACATTACTGGTGTTTTTCAAATTCCCACTAGGTGCCCATTAGTTGTTAGGTAGAAAGCAGGATATTTGTGACAAGAGAGATCCCAGGCTTTAGAGGTCACAGCTAAGGTCACTATCACACATCAGATCCGTACCTCAGCTGCAGTCCACTGAAGTGCCTGATTAAAGAGCAGAAAAACAGGTAACCAGATATTCTTGGCGGGATCCCGCAGCTTTGGGAATAGCTTCTCCTAGACCTGAAGGCCTATTTTACCAGTCTCAAGGAAACATGCTAATATATATTTGCCAAGGGCTGAGAAACATTTAGGGAAATAGGTTTGAAATGCTGTTATCTGACAAGTTACAATTTGCGTAGCTAACAGCTGAAGGGAAGCTCCTGCAGTTGTCAGTTCTATTTGTATTTTGATAATTCATCAGCATGCAGATGAATTGGAAGTGAAGAAATCTAAAAGGCTTCTGGGCAGTGGCTGGGAGCTCATGCCGACTGCTTGAGACAAGAAAGAGAAGCAGACCTGCAAATTGATTCCCAGGAAGCTTCAAGGGAAAACTATTCTGAGACATGGCAGTCTGACACATTCCTAAAATACCAGTTTCCAACTCCAAAATAAAAACACTAGAATGATCAGAGAAAATGACCAAGGAGGAACCTAAGCACTCACTAAGGCCAGAAAGATTGAGCTGATAGGCTTACAAATACTTGAGATGCTTGCTAAGAATTATTCTCCAAGAGATCCCCATCATTAAGGAATTAAGATAATTATAGCAGGAGGTAGCAGATTGCATCTGTCTCAACATGCAGCAGGAGCTGGTTCTGCTCATATCCAGTCTCTGCATCACAGCTCTCTTATGGAAAGGTGTCGTGGGCTACACAAGATGTATGCTAAAAATTAAACAGCCTGTGCAAATAGCCAGAACACAGCAACAAACAAAAACCCTAAAGTTATGATCAATATGCTGGCAGTTGACTCCCAGCAATTACTCTTAAGATACTTACTACCAACACAAAGAAATTGAAAGATATGATTATCTAAGAGCTACATCTCAGCAAAGCCCCCTCTTCCCAACCTGCAGCTTGCACACATCAACTAAATGATCAAATTAAAGAGCATCATCTGTGCATTTTCCCATTACTGACTCAAATGTCATAAATATAGCAGTAGTCCCACAGAAGCAGACAGCTTGATGAAAATGAAAAATTGTTGGTGTCAGAACAATGTCTGGGCACCTCACCTCTACTCGTTTAATATCTTCCTCCAGAACACTTAGCTCCTTCTGGATCTGCTCCAGTTGCTGTGGATAAGAGAAAAGGAAAAATCGAAATCAGTCTGCACTGCACCATCAGGATAAATTATGATCTTTTCAGAGAAGAACCTGAACTACTTTAACTGGCATGCTAAAGACTTCAAAAGTCACTAGGCATGAAGTTCATATGCATAGATTATGCACACAAACCAGATTCAAGACCATGTTATTATCATGAAATAGCAGAGAACAAGAGCATAAGGTACTCTGATATCAAAATGAGATTCCCATGATTCAGAGTGATACTGTCATGCTCCTCTAACATCTTTCAGGCAAGGTATTGCCTGGTATTTATAACTGGCTTATGAACACCAAACAATTACAAGAACACCATGAAAGACGGTGATTATTTCACTCTTCAATAAAATACAAAATCTTTTGATACAAAGTATTTTGTATACTTCCCCTCCTAGTAGTTATCCTGCCATTTGCCAGTTTAAACTTACCAAGAAATTTTTTGCATTGGGAAAAGACAAGAAAAAAAATCACCTATTATAACCACAGAGAGATCTGCTCTTGGCACCAAGAAAGTGCCACATGGTATTTCTTTCAAAGGTGTGATGCTACTCGCCTTGGATTACACCATAAACCCCAGTCAACTGGAGTGCCATCCCTGAAAGTCAGGAAGAGGACTTCCCCTATAACCAGCCAACATCTCTTTTCCCTTCTTTGTGTCACACATGCTAATTTTCAGGTTTTTCAATTGCTTCTCAGACATCAACCTGGCTTCAAATATCTCTAGCAACTGTGAAGTCACAGACTTGACAACTGTTTACCCCTAAGCAAGAGCATCATCTTTTTCCCAGCCCCGATTCCCACCTTCACTCAGCAGACATGCCCCATCAGACATGTCCCACCCACAGAGCCTGTACCCAGCCTTGCAAGACTCAAGCACATGAAATTTTTCATCGAGAGCTCCAGTAAAAAAAAAAAAGTCTACAGGCAAATAGCGCTGTGGCCTGTGACCAAAAGCTGTTACCAAGTTGGCAAGTCCACTGCAAGCTTACTGAGCATAACACATTCTCTAAAGGCCAGACCAAACTTTGGTCTTTCAATTTACAGGGGAATATCCAATGCCCAAATCTAAAAGTTACTAGTGCAGCAAGACATACTACTTTTAGTATGACATTCTCGAGAACATTGGGCAAACTACTCCAAAAGGCTTATTTACTAGAGTGCTTAAGATTGATCCTTTAAGTGGCAAAAGTTTTGCTTAAACAGAAACACACTCACCACTTAAGCCCCCACTATTGATCAGCATTCCAAATATCAGCATGCTCTGCATTAGGTAACCCACCATTTTAATTTACTTTTTCAGCATTAAAAAAAAAGCTTATGTCCCTGAGAGCAGGCATCCTGGTTTGAGTTAGACTAGAACTAATTCTGTTCAGCGATTTCATTTTTCAGCTCAGTTTAAGTTAACAGCAGATTTTCACAGGCAGTGTCTACTTCTAGCAGTAATAACACTCCACATTTAGAGTTACTACCAAGGGTTGGTGTGTGCAGAAAGGCTCTTGCTTCTACTTGCTGCTGTGCAGAAAAAGGTCACTGCTAAACCTTGTGTACCTGGAGATACAGCAAGTAAAAGGTCACACCTGCAGGAAGGAGTGGCCAGGACAGGTGACCCCAAACTGACCAACAGGGGATTCTATTCCATGTATACCATATTTAGTATGAAGCTGAGGCATCACCAGGGTCAAGCTTCTTCAAAGGCCAGCATCTGAGGAGGACTCTCTCCATTCTGTCTTCAACCTTGATCCATGTGTTTCTGGATCCAGCTCCCATCTGCCTCAAAGTCCAGCCTGGGACTTCCCCAGTGCCTGCTTACTCCACAGTGGTGACAGTCACATAACTGCCATTGGTTGGGTTTGATATTTATCTATTTGTATGTATTCCATTTTATTGTTATTTTCAAAGCTGTTTTAGTTTTCTTTTCCAACCCCTAAGTCTCTCCCTTATTTCCTTTAAAGGGGGAGAGGGGTTAATAGAGTGACAGTCACTTGTCTGGTGGCTGACTCAGCCCTAACCCTTGACAACTGAAGAAGAAAGGACTGCTGGGTCCACACCTATTTCTAACATGGCTTCTTCCTTGAAACAGGATGACATTGTATTTATATCCTAATATCTCTACTCTAAAGTTCCAGTCTATATTTAATTTGAGTCACAGACAGCACAAGTTTAATGGCTTAAAACTAGACTGCCACAGATAATTTACAAACCACTATAGCATAACAGATAACTCCATTTTCACTTGCAAAACCTACAGCAAGAATAGCAGGTGGTGCTGTAGCTCCAAGATTAGTGGTAAAGTTAAGTGACACTTGCACAGCATGGGTCCTGCCTGTACTCAACGCTAGCAGACAAATACCATTAGTCCCCTACTTTCATAAAGCCCAAGTTAAAAACACTTAGAAGTTCCAAAATTACAGCAAAGGAAAAAAGCTATTCTACAATGTACTGGCTTTCAGCCAAACTGGACTACTGAAAAATAACTGACAGTTGTTGCTACCACAAACATGAGACCTTTTTATAGGAACAAGAGCAGAGACCTTTGTTTCCCAGCTTTTATTAACTATTGCACAGCACCAGAAGTATATGACTTGGGACTTCATTTACAAATTCTTCCTTCTAGTTACGTATGGCAAGCAATTTGAAACTATTATAAGCTTACTTAACAGTAGCACATCTAAAAACTAGGCAAATACGTTTCATGCTTATTTTAAGAAGAGTTTTCTTATACCATCAACACCAAATGAGCTACTAATGCCCACATTGAGAGGCTTGAGGTTTTGTTTTTTGAAGGTTGGCTCAAGTGTTTCATGGTTTAGCTTTAATCTATTAAGGACCTTGAATCAGTCCACATTCCTTCCAATTAAACTTTGAGACATAAGACTACTGATTTATAATTGCCAGCCACTGAGGGACATTTAAGGAAAGCAAAATGAATTACAGTTACAGCCCTTACAGTAGATCCAGATTTATGGACACTTAATTTGATTTTCACTATGTTGGGCACAGAAGACAAGTCAAGTCTTGTCTCAACGATGGGCAGAATCATGCCTGTCAAGCTTGAGATTAAATCAGCAAGAACACTTAAGATGAACATGGAAATATATGCTGAAATAGAAGCACATACTATAAATTCTCCTCTCAGACACCGATGCTTTCCCAGAACTGGAAAGGCCAATGTGGACAAGGAGAAGGATTCAACTGAGCCATTAAACCTCATAAATTCAACTCCACTGAATTAACTACAATGAGTAGAGGTTTATAACATTCTGGTCCCACATTACATACAGACAAAAGAAATTACCTCAAAATAGCCCATGTTTCTTACAAACTCGGGAAAAAGAATTTCAGACATTCAAGTTGCACCACCACAATAGGAAACACAGGCTCTGATATCATTCTTTTTAGGACCTTTCAGGCCCAGATACCTTTCACTCCCACAACATAAACCCTGCAAAACCCCCTAGTTTGAGTCTGAAGCTATCCTAAACACACAAAGAGTCATCCAAAGACAACTCTCAGCCCTGGACTGTGCGAATGAAGGGAAATCCCCTGGTTAGAGTTGCTCAGAGACACTCTACCATACTACTGAATTGCCACATAAGACTTTTGAATGGATATTTAAATTTGAACTTACACAATGCTAAACATCAGCTCACAGTCAGTTTGATTTCAGCTGGCTATCTACTAATAAGCATAGCTGGGCACAGAACTGAGGTTTCACCCTTGGGCTTCCTGTTTACCCTGGACTCAGGGCCCCTCAGGAGACAATGACTTCATCCTTTGTGTTTGTACAGCACAGACAACAAGCAGTCCTGACTAGGTCTCCTGGTGCCAGTTCTAAATGTTTGCAAAAACCTAAAATATCAGCAGATCCTCCCAGTGCCACAGAGAGCCTACAAAGCAACACTCTAGAAGGGTGTATGACTTCATACACTTTTAACAGTTGTTTAATTCCAGAAAGAGCAAAAGCAAAGATAATTTCCACAGAAATACTGTGAAATTACCACAGTATTCCACCAAGCAGCTTAAACAGAGCATCTAGATTCCCACAAGTCATGTTATGTTCATTCACACACCTTCAGTGCCCCAACCCAAACCCCTCCAGCACTCACTACAGTACGGCTCACACTGCAGATCAAGACAAACGAGACTATTACCAACAGGAGCATCTTTTTTCCCCTAGACACACAGTGATCACACCAACCAGGACAGGGTAAAAAGGATCACCTGTCTAGCTGAGGACAGGTCAGGTAGTCTCTGCAGATAATCCCTTCATTCCATCACACAACCTCATCCATCCACCATGACTTCTTCCTACTTTGTTTTCTTCCATCAACTACTGTTCTAACAAACTGGAGTATAAACTGAAGTATCAACAGCTGAATCTATCCTAAAGGCATCCAGTGAAATCAATTACTTCCCACAGAACTCAATACCTCAACATCTCCTCTACAGCAAATGAGATGGATTTATCTCTCTGGAAACTAGTTGGAAGCCTTGTCTGCCTCTGGGTTTTCCTTCCAGTATCACTTTGGATACAGGGCTTGGTATAATATACAGAGCAAGTATGGCATCTTCAGATTTTAGAGAGACTTTTAGCCTTTTAAATTAATTTGAAATATCACTTTTTTTTGATGTAACACTTCACTGTTATGAAGTCTTTGCACAAGTGGAAAAAAGTGCAAGTTATCTTTTGGTATGAAGACATGAGCACTTGAGTCTCTACAAGTTACTTTCACTGGTGAAACATGGCAGCCAAGTCTTTTAAACACACAGGCAGCCCACCTGTAACAATCTATAAAGATCATTTCTTCTCTCTGATCAATACTTCCTCCAAATGGTAAATGTTTCCTTTTAACTGGGGAAGAGCTAACAGAAAGGGCTGAGAACATCATCTTGGATGAGTTGTTTAACACACAGAGATCCTACCAGTAGGTAGAAGGAGATGCCTGGCTGATCAAAAATAGGTTTTCTAT